AAAGAAAAGTGACTATCAAAATGCACTAAACCTGGATCTGGTAAAGATAAAAGAAAGAAAACTTGAATAGTTGCTCAGAAAGAGAATCAACAAATAGTATAGGGAAAACTTATTCAAGAGAATAGTCAAAGTATTATAATAATTCATCATTTTAATGATTAAGAAACAGAAGATGATCTAGAAACAGTCCTTACTAAATGCATAGGATGTTCACTAAACAATAAAAATGGAAACAAATGTAGTATAGAAATAGAATCAAATTTGGTCTATACTATACTATTCTTAAACTATTAAAAAAATACTAGGAGAGCACAATCATTAAAAGTTTTTTGTTCCCTATTGAAACTAGATAGTATAATAATCAAGAATATAGTTCTAGAAACTCAAAATCTAACAAATAACCAAATTGAAAAAATGGAACAAGTATTAATAGGAGATTAGAAATAAGAAATACTCAAAGACAATATTAATTAAGGTGTATATCAAGATCACCTACTTGAAATTCTCCAGTGCAATTAAGAATTACAGGAGAAGCTGACCTTTTACTTTGACAGATCCTTAATTGATCATGGAAACAAAAATATAAAAATTTGTGCAATATGAATACAAATAGAAGGAGCTGGAAAAGAAAGTAAATTTCAGACAGGAGTCAAAAACTGATTCTCATTCACAAGAGCAGAACTGGTGCACTAGTTACAATAGCTTTAGTAGTTCTAATAGACAGTATGGTCAAGATCTTCACAAATAGTCAAGTATTTCTAAATGAAAAAAGAAGAGAAAGAAGATTTGAAGATAATACACAAAAGATAACTAAAAGAAAAGAATTGATTATTATATATAAGAATGCTAAATCTTGTAACAAAAAAGCATATCTAACTAATGTTGACCAAGGTTAAAGCCCACTTTAACAATCCATGGAATGAAAAAGTAGACTAACTAGCCAAAGAGGTGTTAAAGCTACCACAATAAAATGGAGGAGTCTCAAATCAAGCAAGATATCCACAAAAACTATGTGGTAAGAAGAAGTAGTAGATAGTCCAATATGACAGTTCATCAAACAAATCAATAAAAGATTAATGGCTCTATCATGGATACAGCAACACAGAACAGAGACAAAATGGCATCACCAAGTTTACAAGCATCAAACATATTCATGGGATTTGATAGGAGATAGGTTAAAAGATGGAAATATATGGGATATCTTCTTCAAAAGCTTGCAGAGAAAAAGCTTCCTAATTAAATTGACCAATGATGAACTACTTATCTTAAGCAAGTTAATAATAAGAAGATCAGACAATAGAATATTTATTAAAATGTTCTAGTCATAAAATTGAAATTATAGTGGCATAGCAAAAAGGATCTGAGACTTTCCTTAAAGAATTTAACAAGTTGTATCAAGAATATAAGAGGGAAGTGGATGAAAAAATGATACAATTAGTAGTCAACAATAAAAGAGAAAAAAATAAATTAGAGAAAAAGGTGAATTAGAGAAATAAATCTCTAGACTAATAGAATCAGCCTTGTAAACTGGTTCGAGCATTCTTAACTTTTGTGCAGAATTAGTAGAAGGTGATGCAATCACAGAAGCTGCTAATCTAAATTGTCATGGAAAGAAGCTAGAAACAATGGTAAAAAAATGGATTCTAAAAGTATAAAAGAAGGTTTGTAACCAGATCCAGAAACAAGTCTGAAATGTAAAATGTGAAAAGATTATTGAATGGGAACAAAAACAAAGAATTAATAGAAGAACAAAATATAAGAAGGTTTAGGAAGTAAGAAGGCAAGATCTGCAAGATAATCCCAGTCATAAAAGTACAAGGCAAAGAGAAGAAGAAAAAGATAGTAAAAACAAAAACCTTGTAGAAATTATAAGAAATAGAATTAAATATGAAATAAAGTGATTGGGTTTTGATCCTTGTCAAAACCTTGTGCAAAGATCTGTAGTAGTAACCTGCAGGTGATAATGTTAAAAGTTGGAAGGGTTTTTACCTGAACTACTAACAGAGTAATAAATCACTGCCAAAGTTACATTTAGAATCCTAAATAAATATTAGACTTTGATGAGTGAGTTAATTAGATATTTAGCTTTAGTAATATATACAGTATATAATATATAGCTTACAATTATTTAATAAAGCATATATAATTAGTCTGATAGAGGATTATAAAAAAAAAATAATAATAATAATGTGACTATCTTATCTTTATATACAGTATAAGTACTCTAAGTCAAATTTGGAGACAATATTATACTCTCCTTATAAATAGTATTAATCTCTATTTACTAGGATTATTGTTAACAGTTTGTCACTGTTTATTGCCCAAAACTAATAAATTGCTAAGTTAAAAAGGGGAAAGAAGAAAATTATTGAGGAAGGGAACAATTCAAAGTTCATTAAAAAAATCTAAAAATAAAAACAATCTTTTCTTAAAAAGAATATTTTTAATTGGGATAGTTTTCTTATTTATAGAACCTTGGAAGAAATCTTCTTTTTTATCATCTATGGCATCATATAAGTCAATTCAATTGGTCTTTTATTTAAGTAAGCGCTAGATTGAAATATCTCAAGAAAAGTATTTAGACTTTTGCTTTTTTTTATTAAAGCTTTGTTATTAGTTGAGAAATTTAGATAAGAGATAGAAGTTTGCAATTCACATTATCCATTACTTGATTTTTTGATATCCTGAATGTTTTTATTAAGGGACTTGAACTTTTGGAGGTAAATATTTCTGGAATCTTCTTTTAATTATCAATGATATTATCAAAACATATGAATATGATCAATAGAAGCTTGTTTATATTTTAAAAACCAACATATTTCATGCCAGCCAATTATTTTTGGTGAGGATTTATGCTATTCAAAATTTAAGATCAAATTGAGATAGACAAAATTTCTTAGAAAACCATAAAAGTGAAAGTTTTAAGAAAGTCAAGATAGCCAAAAAAGAAGAAAATAAGTCTTTTTACTATAGAAAACCTCTATAATTATCTCACTTCAAAGGTTAGATAGATCTTCAGATGCTTTATAATTAGTTCTTCTTTCTTTAAAAATTTTCTTACCATTGGTATTAAAGATGTTATTTGATTTTTCTTGGTTACCAAGAGTTAAGTTTTTGATTGAAAAGATTTATAAACAAAAGGGAAAGGTAGAAGTGACTTTTGAAGTTATATTTCAAGTTGTTTTAAGGAAAGTATCAAAACTTTATTAGTAAAGAAGTATAAAAACTTTTTGTAAATATTTTTTTTGTGTATGGTTAAAGGATTGACGAAAAAAGTTTTTAATTGATTTTTTAAAATTATTATATTATTTTTTTATACAAATCATATATCTTTATATATATATAGATTAAGGATTATCTAGTATAATTGATTTAGTTAAATCTGCTTGTATTTCAGAAATAAATAAATTTAATTAAGAATCAATTAAAAAATATATAATAATTTATAATATAGTAAGTTTCAATTAGTTAGTATTAAGTTTAATTATCTTAGAATCCTTATATTTTACTAAGCTAATATGAGATTTATTCTAATATATCGATATTTTTCACTAAAATCTCAAAAAGAATTTCTATTCATTTATTATTATTAACAATATTCAGATATATTTTTTAGTTAAGTTAACACTAAATTGAAATATTTTAAGTTAGAATAATTAGATTCCAAAGTTTGTCAATATAGTTTAAAGTAAAGTATATTTGGATAGTTACAATAGTTCTAAAAGTAGATTTTGATATTTATTTTTTATTTAATTCAAAAAAATAAATTAGATATAATTTACTGTATATAATCAAATCAGAAACCTTTCTTTATATAATTCTTGCAATAAATTGGTTTTAGTCTAACAATTAACAAGATAACTAAAAATCTTATTTTTATATAACTTGATTATTTTTTTTTTATAATCCTTATATGAATTAGTATTATAATAATTTTTTAAATTATTAATTATATTATTAATTATATTATTAATTTTATTATTATTAATTTATTAATTTTAAAATTAGTTTTTAAATTTCAATATTATAATTATATTTAGTTTTTTTAATTTTAGTATTATGATAATCTTTTAATCTTTTGATTTTATTACTATTATAATTAAATAAATTTATACTTTTATCATTATGAGAATCTTTTTAATTTTTTAATTTCAAGATTATAAAAATTTTTCAAATATTCAATTTTAGTATAATTATTGATTTTTAGATTTTCAACTTCAACATAATTATTGATTTTTAATTTTTCAATTTCAATACATTAAGTATTATTTGAATTTATAATTTCTTTTTCTAATTATATAGTATCTTGTGCATGTTTAATTAAATTATTATATACAGTAATTCTGAATTAAAAAAATATAAGAAATATTAATAGTAAATCATTGTGGATGCATTTTTATTAAGAAATGTTTTTAATAAAAAAAAAATTCCCGGAATTACAGCGCAATCAATTTCCGGATTTCCGAAAAAATCACTTTAAATAGTGTAAATTATTATGATACGGAAATTTCACTCGAAATAATTGTATTTGCATCCGCACGAAAAATCCATGGAGAACACCCCCGCGTGATCGAAAATAGCAACTAGAACTCTGCTAAGCTTCGTTAAATGACTTTTCCCACTGGAATGCCAAATTATCCTTTTAAGAACTGGGGTGCAATCATTTATTCTATGATATGATTTATTCAAGTGAGCTCTTCTCATACTCTCGAAAAAAGTTTCCCATACAATTCACGTGCAATAGAAATCGGTCTTGATGATTAAACTAACACGAAGAACTCGTCACACACAAAAAGATACAAAATAATACTATAACAAAGAGCCGTATATCCATAACAGGTAAAATTCCACATGTGCAAATCGAAAGTATATATAAAAATAGGAAAATTAAAGTTGTAAATCCTTTACCTCCATCTCTTCTCGTCATTTATTTATTTCATCTTACGTGAGATTTACGAATTAAATAATAGATCGTTTTTTATCAATCGTCGCGTTTAAGCATGACGAAGACGCGCTCAAATTCCAAAGATTTTACCATCAGCAACGGCTCGGCAATTTTCAATGCCCGTGTAACTCGAAGCGCCGCCAGAAGCCGTGGCGAAAAATTAGTGGAATTGAGCCGGGAAGGAGTTGAAGTTGTTCAGGTATCTACCTTGATTAATAAAGATTAGACGATACTGATATCAAAATCGACGTGACTGATCGGTGCACAATTCTTATCTTGGTGTTTAATATATACAGTTAAAAAATAAACTATACCGTCCAATTATGTCAAAAAATTTGCGCGAAAATATAACTGAAGAGGCGAGTTCTTCGTGTTATTTGATTTTCGCTTTTATAAAATCGCGATAGTCCTTCGAACAAATTCTTATTTATCCAGAAAGAAGACGAGAATAACGATGGCGAGGAAGAATCCGAGGTTGAGGAGGAAGGGGAAGAGGAAGCTACTAGAGAAAAAGATCTCGAAAAAGATGTTGAAGAAATTCGCTTCGTCATCGATAATGATGATTTGTCGGATACTGCTAGCGAAGTAAATTAACATTATATGGATCAGTTTAGGAAAGTTTCAGATGTTCATACACTCATACGTTTTCTATTGTTATACAGGATTCGCTTTCCGACTAGTAAAGAGTAAAGGATATGTTTAGCATTGGTTATATTTGTTTTTTTTTGTAAATAGAGTTTGTCATCGAACACACATTCATCGGTCCATTTTGTATATAGAAAAATTTGCGAAAAAAAAGATTTTTTTTTTTTTTTTTTTAGATTTCGAAGCTTACAAAAGTGTTCATTTGTTTTTTTTTTTTTTTTTTTTTTTTTTTTACTTAAGGGAAGGTAAATCAATTTGGCCCTTTACAAAAGATCAACTGAACTTATATTGAAACTTTTCGTGTATACGTCATGTATGTCTAATGAGGAAAATAAATGAACGCAAGGATTACGTCATTATACACACAAAACTTTTTAAAAAAGAAATTTCCTGTTATTTATTGGTAAAATTGGCGATACTTATACTTTCCTTACGTTAATATGAAATTCTAATTTGAAATTAGGTTAGTCATACTAGCATGAGGCTTCTAGGCTATTTATGCAAACGATTGCTTGACCGATGTTATTTTATCTATTTACTTATAAATCCGTTTGATCAACGTCTACGACGTTCCGGGACGCATGTTACCTTAGTAGCTACCTAGAGTCTCGCGAATTACAGTTTTAGCTCGATCCTCGCTCATCATCCCAAATGAATGAACTCTCATATCAAAGGATGCCGTTCCCCCAGTTAACGACCTCAGTGCTGATGAATATCCCAACATTGTTGACAATGGTGCTTGCGCATGGATCACTTTTCTTGATTTAAAAACCGAATCCTGGGTGGATGAGATGTACGTAGGATCTGGTGGTGCATATACCTCGGTAATTTGATCAACATGTTCGGACGCACCTCCAGCCGTATCTACCCCTAGGATATTTCCGCGGCGTGTTCCGGATAGGTCACTAAGGACATTACCCAGATATTCTTCCGATAAATCAATATTTACGTTCATTAATGGTTCGAGCAGCACAGGTTTTCCTTCTTTAAGTGCAAGAGCAAGTGCTTGTGATGCACAGGAGCTAATCGCTGTCCTTGTTGATTCGTCACCAAATAATTGTATTGAATGTACCTTTACCAAAAGTCCCGTCACTTGAAATCCAAGAATTGGGCCTCTACATAGGCCCGATATTATTCCGGTACGCAGTGCACTTTCAATTTCCTCGTCTGACAATTTGGCTCTTTGTTGATTATTTATTTCCTGTTCGGTTTCCGGAACGCCTTCAACCTTCTGAAAATTTTCAAACACTATCCTATTTCCTCCTTCTTCGGGCAATCCACGATCATTTTCAGGCAGAGGAGTAATGAATAAGGAAACCTTCGCCTTTGCTCTCTTTCCCATAATTTCGCGATCGTATAGATAGGTATAATCAATATTTTCCATTGTTGCTGTCTCCCTGTACGACACGCGCATCTTTCCCAATTCTGCGTTAACCTTGTACTCATTGACCAAACGATCTTTGACAATTTCCAAGTGAAGCTCTCCCATACCACTAATCAATGTTTGCCCAGAGTCTGGATCAACGTGAACACGAAGAGAAGGATCTTCTCTCAATACATTCTTGAGTGCATTTTCGAGCGGTTTTTCGTCAGATAATCCAGCTGCCTCCACGGCACAATAAAATGCCGGTGCTGGAATCTCGATGCTCTGTAATTTAATGTTTTTTCGTGTGTCGTTAACCTGTATAAGGGTATCTCCGGTTCTCGTTTCTTTGAGACCCACAATTACGCCTATATTACCAGCCGAGATCGATGGAATCTCCTCCACATCATTCGCATACACCTGCAACAATTTATTAACTCGTTCCTTTTTACATGTATTCGTGTTATACAATGCCATCCGATTGTCGAGTTTACCTATATTAAGATAATTCATTTAGATTCGAATCGAGAATCTTAAAACAGCAATCGAAATATCCATTACCAGAGTACACACGAACATAAACCATTGGACCGCGGTTAGGATCATGCACGACCTTGAAGGCAAGGGCGCACAATTTTTCGTTCCCTTCCAGTTGAATGTTAACTGGTCGATCGTCTGACGAAATAGCCATGGGAGTTGGACGATCCAAGGGAGAAGGTAGGTACTCAACTATTGCGTCCATCAATGGCTGAACACCGATATTACGAAAGGATGCACCGCAAAATACGGGAACAACTTTTCCATTCAAGACAACTCTTCTTAGTGCCTGTTTGATATCTTTTGTAGTGATCTTCATAGGATCTTCGGTCTCCAGCAATAATTCCAATAGTTGATCGTCCATCTCTGACAAAGCTTCTACCAAACTCGATCTTCCTTTTATTGCTTCTTTAAACAATTCTGTCATTGGATATTTCTCTGTTAACAGTGTCTTGCTAATAACAGAGCCATTTGGGTCCTTGTCCCAATCCAGCACCTGCATGTCCAAAAGGTCAACCACCCCAGTAAATGAATTTTTTCCTTTGTCCTTTTTTACCACAGGTATCTGACAAACTAATGGTCTAGTGCCGAGCTTATACACCATCTCTCTAACCGTCCGCCCGAATCCAGCGCCAACCCTATCCATCTTGTTAATATAAGCAATTCTTGGTATACCGTAACGATCGGCCTGTGCCCAGACCGTTTGGGTTTGAGCTTCAACTCCTGAAACAGCGTCCAATATTGTGACGGCTCCATCAAGCACGCGCACGCTGCGTTCAACCTCAATTGTGAAATCAACGTGACCTGGAGTGTCTACCAAGTTTATACGATGATTCCTCCAGGCAAATGTAATAGCAGCAGAGGTTATGGTGATACCCCTTTCACGTTCTTGTTTCAGGTAATCCATCACTGTATCCCCGTCGTCCACATCTTTAAAACATACGGATAATATATATATTAATCGCGCATTTTTTTTTTAGTACAGATGAAATGAGATTACTTACCTCCTATCCTTCTTGTGAATCCCGCATAGTACAACATACGTTCTGTGGTCGTTGTCTTGCCTGCGATTTATAAAATCTTGGTAATCTTTTTGGAACAGAAAATGATGCATGACGGTACAGCAGTAGATACCGGCGTCAATGTGTGCGATAATTCCGATATTCCTTGTTTTTGAGATTGTATAATCTGACGTGTTAAAGAAAACTTGAGTGAATTACATATTGTCTGACAAAGATTCCTGGACCTAGATGTGTTTAAAAAATAATCAAAGAACGAATATCAAAAGAAAAACGATCAATATTCGGAAGAAGATATCTTACCGTTAGAAGTTGAGTAAAATCGGCGAGAATTTGAGCCACCTTTCTCACGCATTAATCTTAATGTTTTGTAGGGGCCCTTTATATGGTGTGACACGATATAACGAAATTTGAACATCTTTAAAAAAGTCGAGAACAAAAAAAAAAAAAAGAAAAGAAAAAAAAGAATAGATGAAGTGGATGATTTAAAATGAATTGACTGGCCAATCAAATCTCGTGCCGAAATTCCAAAAGTTTATTGAATGATTTTTTTTCATCGAATAATAGATTGCAATTTCCGAAAACCGTGATATTTCAACAAAGGGGAACATTAACGGCAAGTCCACCCTGACTTGTTTCTTTATATTTACTTTTCATGTCAATACCAGTTTGACGCATGGTCTCAATCACTTGATCTAAAGTGACTCGGTGATATCCATCACCATTCAACGCCAACTGAGCAGCGGTGACAGCTTTTACAGCTCCTAGTGCGTTACGTTCTATACACGGTATTTGCACCAGTCCATTGATTGGATCGCACGTTAAGCCTAGATTGTGTTCCATCCCTATTTCTGCCGCGTTTTCCACCTGTTTTGGGGTTGCGCCCTTTGGAAAGGAGAATTTAATTTTAATTTAAGAAATATTTTATCGAACTGGTCTCTCGATTTTTAAAATCCTGAACCTACCAACACCGCAGCAAGTCCTGCTGCACTCATGCTACATGCTAAAAAGATATTAAGAAATCATCGGTGCTATCCACGGTGTCAAAATCAGAATTGGTGTAATAAGAATATACATACCAACACCAACTTCACCCTGGCAACCCATCTCGGCTGCACTAATACTTGCGCCCCTCTTGTAAATCATACCAATTGCTGCACTAGTAAACAAGAATGCCATGATATCATTTTCATGATTCTCGGAAATAAAATCCAAATAATACTTGAGCACAGCAGGAATTACTCCGGCCGCACCATTTGTAGGCGCGGTTACCACGCGCCCACCAGCAGCATTCTCTTCGTTCACCGCGATAGCATACAATGAAAGAAAATCCAATGCCGGTAAATTTAGCTTCTTCCGGGTACTTTTCGAGAGAAATTTGATGATTTCCTTGCTCTCCCCTATAGTCGGCGGCTCTATGATATTGCGTGGTGCCAACACATTGATCGAGACCGATCTATTCAACAAATTTCTGTATAATCCCGGAGCTCTCCTTCTAACTTTTAAACTGCCGGGTAAATACTCTTCGCCGCTCGAACATCCATTTTTTATACTTTGGTTCATTGTATTCCAAATGTCCATCAATTTCCGACGAATCTCACTCTCGCTTCTCCAATGAAGTTCGTTTCGATAAACGACTTGAGCGATTGTCATGTTTTCTCTTTTGCAAACCTGTAACAATTCTTCGGCATTTCGAAATGGCAGTGCGGCAAATGTGACAGCTTTGTCTTGCTTCGCACGTTGTAAATCGACGGATGATTTGTCATATTCCTTGTAAAAAACGTTATCGCCATGTTTTTGGACGGTGGTCTCGTTCACCACGAAGCCTCCGCCTATCGAGAAGAACTCTCCAGTGATCAGGAGATTGCCTTCTTCGTCAAACGCCAAAAATCTCATACCATTGGGATGCTGAGGAAGTTCTTTGTCATAATGGAAAATTAGATGATTTCCGATGTTAAATTTAATTTCCTTTGTTCCATCCAAAGTAAGAGTCCCTAGGATTTTTTTTTTTTTTTTTTTAATGGTTAATATAGCATTTAAACATCAGCTTAAGTGATCAAGGAATTTACCAGTTTCTTTGATCTTCTCAATCCTAGAAGTTATTTTGGTTGTATCGATCTCTTCGGGTATTTCACCTTCCATTCCCATTAATATGGCGCTGGGCGTTCCGTGGCCTCTTCCGGTCAAGGCGAGCGATCCGTATAGATCGATTCTTATTCTGTTTACCTGTTAATAACAAAGTTAAAAAGTTGAAGCAATCTTCAAAGGTTAATTGTTAAAGTTACCTTATCGAATATTTCATGGTTCTTCAGATCTGTGATAAAAATCTTGGCTGCCCGCATTGGTCCAACCGTATGACTAAGAAATTTTAACGTGAATTACGTAAAGTGTCCTGAAAACAGTTCAAACCTCGAAAAAAGTGCGAACCTTGAAGATGGACCTATACCGACGCTAAATAAATCGAATGTGCTGACGACGGCATGATGCTCCAAATTATCCGAAGCCTTCCCATCTTTCCTAAATTCACGAGGTTTTTCGGGAACCTCTCTTTTCCTCACTCTTATGCGAGAACTTATTGAGGATGTATATGATCTTTGTCTTGAAAATTGTCGGGACAGAGACAGACCAAGGAAATTAAATGATCCCGTGGTGATTGATGAATTTCTGGAGAAATGAAAGGGAGCAGTTCGAAACAGAAAGGAATTACCTAAGAAGTTCATTTCGAAAAAACTATTCAGAAATGATCTAGCAATTTCCGAATGTATATAATGTTTATATACTGATATACAGTACATATATATACATACTGAAAAAAAAAAGGAGTAAACCGCATAATTGGTAAAATGATGCATTATTCGTAATTATGAACCGTGGTTTCCCACGATTCATTAAGGTCATGCACCGTTATCGTTAAGATTCGAATTTAACGGTTCGTGATCAAATTGGGCTGACTCGCATATTGTGTGTACGTATTATAGTCAAACACCTTTTTGCGATTCTTTAATATAATCTAATATTTTTTACATTTGTTTTTTAAAAGAATTCGCCAAAAGTAGAAAACGAAAATTATAAAGGCATGCGTATTTTATCGAAATAAAACTAATTTATATCATTAAAAAAATGTGGTACAATTAATTGTATTGTTATCGTTATTAAAAAAACTTTTTATAATTGAATTTAAGTATAAAACTTATGGCTTAATTAATTTTCAAGTAATTATACTTGATCAAATTAATTTAGTATCGAATATTGAATTAACAAATTAACAACATACTAATTATTAAAAGAGTGAATTCCATGAAATAAAAAAGGAAAAGATAAAAATTAATTTCATCACTTATTTATTTAGTGCATGCAATGATATGATAATGATAATGATATTTATAAACGAATTAATTACAAAGTTCTCGTTGGCAGTATATGCAGCCTTTTAGACTATTGCTTTCCATAATCGAATTTAAAGTTACGTTGATCCACTATTTTTGTTGTCACTTCAAAACCGGAATAGAATTTTCCAATATCTTGGAATGTCTCGTACCTATTGTATATGCGGTTCGCCTGCAAAGCGAAAACCAAAGTTAAAAAGTTAAAGCGAATATTATTAGGATTAGAAAGAAAGTTGAATAATTGCAGGGACGGTACTTGGTAAATATTTTGTACTCGAAGCTACCGATATTTCGGCACATCTTTAAATATTTATAAGTCAACCACTCATCATTATGCCATGACTTATCTGTCTAGGTGAGTTCGATTCTTTTGATAACTTGAATCTGGAACTTTAAGCTGAGTCCAGATTAAGATTCGACTTTTGGATCCGTCAAATCTAACCGGACCTTTGACATCTGCTTTTAATAAAATACTCCGACAGTAGACGAATTCTGATATTGCTCTCAACATAGTAATTGTATATACAGTAGGTAGCCTTAAAAAAAAAAACATGACGTTAGAATGCAACATATTTTTGAAAGTCACATTGTTACAATCATCGTTACCTATAAATTTAGTTTAAATATGGATAAATTAACAAACATGTAAAATTCCCTAATCGAAAACTTATTCCTGCAAGTTTTTTAATTCTCAAGTATGGAGGTAGGTATTACCGTGTTAGCGATTGAAATTAATGGTCGAATTGAACACTTCTCATTTTGTTCCTTCAAGCCATCGTTGAAGAGTAAAATTACGCCTCTATGTGCGAAGCTTTTTGAAGCTAAGAAAGAAAAAAAGCTTACGTAAATATGTGATATTCATTCTTCATCTTAATTTCAGAATGAATTTCATAAAAATAAACAAATAAATTATTGAAAAAGGTTTGCAGAGATCGGTGAACATCTTGGTAGAGACGAAGTTTGGGTCGCCGCCGTGTTCTATGGACAGGTAAATCGAAAAATTTCTTAACAAGTAATTCACCAGATTTTCATTTTCCATTCTGTTGTTTGAAGGCCAAACCAGAAGAGTCAGATCTGGTCAAATTAGGCGTACTTTTGGATATTCAAGAAAGCTACCTTACAAGTAGCTTTGATGTGCAAACTTATTTCCCGAATCGCGGAGGGTGAGTAGTCGTAGTGATGAATGTTTTTTCTCAATCTGTATATTTTTTTAAATAAAAAAAATCAATTTATTTAGGCTATTTGATTTGCCGCCCTCGGACCCATTGATCTACCGCTTCTATGAAATTATGCAGGTGATTGAATGGGATGTGTATATTATGGCTTAAGAAAACATCTTTTAATGCAAATTTTTTCAGGTCTACGGATATCCATTGAAGGCTGTTGTCAATGAGAAGGTATTAGCTTTTTAGATTCATCATGAAAATTATTCCATGGTTTAATTATGCGCATATTTTTATAAGTTCGGTGATGGCATCATGTCTGCGATTGACTTCACCGCCAATGTTGAAAAGGTAAGAGACGATCTTATCATTCTTCGCTGATATTTCTTTTTTCTTTAAGACTAACGTTTTGGTTTACAATAAGGTTGTAAAAGATGGACATGAGAGAGTAAAGATTATATTTGAAGGAAAGTTTTTGCCATTTAAAAAATGGTAATAGGTTGGCTGCCGAATACAACCGATTTGGATTTTCTTTTCATTATAATGTTACTTATGGTTCAACAGACATACACATTTAATATCAGCATCGATTAAATTTGAAGAAACTTTTAAAAATGCTTTTGATTTTCGATAAACCAAAGATGAAAAGACGATATTATTTATATGTCGCAATACCATTTTCAGCACTTTATCATACTGTATAACGGTTGCTTTCGAACTCTCGCAAGAGCAAGCTTTATTTTTTTTAACGAAAAAAAAACGATGGTTTATACTTTGAAATACACTCTAAATTACCATATAACGCTGCATAAAGTATCACCCTTGAATAGTATCCCTCCGGATTTTTTTAATGGTGTCTTTTTTACTAATTAACTTTTCGCCTAGATTGATTAGTGACCGGATAAATGATCGACGATTCCCGTAGCCAATCGCCTTTTTTTTTTTGTATACCCACAGTTAAGTACATTTTCACTCGAGCAGCATGATACATATTACGGCTAAACATTTCTATCAAATCTAACAAACTTATTGTAAGCAATAATGGCCTTTAAGTTTGACCTTGGGAACAATATTGATGGTTTTTGAGTAAATACCTTTCTAGTCCACCACTTCATCATTAGCAAATTATTGCTATTGAATATCCTACCAAATCACTGGAATATAGGAAATTACAAAAAGTCTTTGAACTAATATTTTTTATTATACTTTAATAAATAATTATTGGATTTAAATAATTTAATATTTTTATTATAAATTATTTATTTATTTATTTTTTTTTAACATAAAATAATTAATTTATTGATATTATAATAAAGTATAAAAATAATTTAAACAATTTATAAAACTATATACTCTAAATCAAAACAACAAATAGTTGATCACAAATAATTCATATTAACTATTTAATTCTTCAAACTAGTATTACCAAATTAGAGTTTTATCAATCATGTATACTAGAGAGAAGGTGAAGAGAGAAAAATAAAAAAGAAATTGTGACTTATAATTATATTTATATTTAATGATGATATATTTCAAAATCTTTTAAAAAAAAATATAAACAAAAGATTTGTATCTATTACAATAAAAGTTATAATATACAATATATATTGTATATGTCAATTGTAAGTAGTAATCACAATAAATTGAATTGGATCAGATTTTAATTAGATTTGATTTGATTCAATTTTTATAAATATAAATTGAATATGGATCTGATTCGTTTTAAACTAATCTGATCTGATTTAAAACTATAATAGTTTAATCCAATCTAATTCAAATCTGAATTTGATTTAATTCAATCTAATCTGAATCTGATTCTGATTCTAATTCAAATTTGATGAAAAAACAATTTGAAACTGATTTGATATATTTTTAATCTATTTTAAAGTATGTTCAACTATAACTGTTTTGATTTAATTAAATTAAATTAAATATATTTAAGTTAACCTAGCTTTATTTTAATAAAAAAATTTTTAACTAGTATATTTTCTTTCAGAAATATTTTTTAACTTAAAATTTAAAATTTTTCTTTTATTAAATTTAAATAAATTTATTTATTCAATCTCTGATCATTTACTTGCTTCTATATTAATATACTTCTCACTATAGTTAGTACTCTCTAAAATAACTTGATTTTCTATATCATTTTTTTCTTTATTTTTTATTATCAATATTTCAAGTACTTGCAAAGTATCTTGATCTGTTGATAATTAATTATATCTATAATCTATATAATATATATCTTCTTTACCTTCTCTTTATTTTTTTATAGTTGATATTGTTTTTTTGACTAAATTTTGGAACAACTCACAAGTTATACCTTTTATTGGTAATCTGTAGTACCATATAATTCATTTTCTGATCAGCAATAAAGAGTAATTCCTAGTAAAAATTATATACTAAAAAAAAACTCTTTCCACTAATCCTCCTTTTTCCTAAAAATTTCTTTTTTTGATAATTTTTTTGAAAAAATAAACCTGGTCAAACACACAAATAAAAACAACATATCTTTTAAACCAAGCTACCAAGCTTTAGTAACACATATATAATAAACCCTTCAGAAACATCAAAAAAAGAGGTATACATTGTTTTACTAATTTTCTTTTACTTCATTTTCTTAAAATTTTTAGGAGAAAGAAAAGATACTTGTAAACTGATTCACAGTCAGAAAAAGGGAGCCAATATCAACTTCACACAGCTTACAGCCAGGCAAATGCAGGTTAACACCTTTCTTGACACTGTAAGGAACCCAGGAAGCAACTAAGTTTACTCGATAAATCAAGTTAATTCAGTCACTCAAAGGTCCAGAAAGATATCAAAGCTCCCCAAGGACAAGACAGTCTAAACGTACATATACACAAAAACAACATACCTATCCTCTATCTTGTTACGTGAATACGATCACGTAAAAGTGAATAAGCAAAACAAGTATACACGTAAAAGTGACAAACAAAATACATACATACACGTATAACTCGTAATCCAAACAAGTTGATTGATATTCTACATAAATACAACAACAACTTGCAAAATTTGTATAGGATCTTCAATATCAACAAACAAATATATCAAAACAACACAACAAGGTTTTTCCATATTACTTAATCAAAAATATAAACAACAACAATCTCAGAAAGGTTTATCTACGATCCAAAATAGAATAATTGACAAATATAAACAAGCCATTATGTGATCTATTAATAAATCTAAATCAATAGCAGATATGAATAAAGCACAACGTATATTATAGATTGTCAGCAAAAGAGAAGAGGATATAGTAAACATGCTAATCAATCTCTCAAAAAAACATGACAAACACTTTACTTTATGGGCTTCACAACAACTACTCAAACAAAAAAACTATAAACCCAGTAGACCAGAAGTCTCGTCATTAGAAACATATATTATTCTCGATAGTATTATAGCTAAGTTATTAGGAGTAGATATGATAACCTTTCACAAGAAACGAATCTTAACTCAACACATCATAAATCTTTGGCAACAAGGCAAAAGAATCAAAGAAGACCTTCTATAATTCTATATTGAAGATAAGCTTATGGAAATTATCAAGAATTCTGAAATTCAACATAAATCAGAGCAACAATCAATAGATATTGTTGAATAAATAGATAATGAATCAACAATAGACAATAATGTAACAATGATATGCATATAGGAGATCGAAGAACTGGAAGCACAAAAACTCTAAAAAACAGTAAAAAGACAATGCATTAGTGAACATAGCTCCTATACAACTAGAAATAGAGACATAACATCACCAACAAACCCCTACTTTATAAAAAAGAAAGGAAATTATAGATTAGGTACAATGATGGCCAATATTCCAGGAGAAATAGAAAATAAAACTAAGGCATATCTAAGCAATATTCATAAACTTCCACAAGAAAAAAGAAATCTTTTATGAAAAGAGTTTATCAATAGAAATAAGTGGTTAGTCTTTTGGATACAAAAGGAAGAAGATGTTATATAATGCATTGAAGAAGTTAATCGAAAAAAAAATAACTTTGCCATCCAAAATATAACACCATTGACCACTTGCAAGAAACAAAAAACAGAAAGAAATCTAAATAGAAAGATCTTTTAAAAATTCAAGACCAATGAAAACACAACCATTTGATACGTATGTTTGGTAGATGTGGATCAGAAAAACAATAAGAACCTCATAAAAGCACATCTAAAAAGATATGGAGAAGTCCAAAACATTCATATCTATGAGGTG